CATACAATCGAATTTGCTATTCTTTGTTTTCATCCATTCGATTCAGATAAAATGGGAAAATTTGAAGAATCGTTTGTTGAAAAAGCAAAAAAATTTGGAATGAATTTTGAAAAATGTTTCGAAACACAATTTGTTGATATCCGAAATGATTCAGAAATTGCAACAGTATTTCAAAATTTGAAAATTCGTGATATTCATTTTGTTTTCATTGGACTTTCTGCACGTATGTTATTTCATTCAATAATAATTAAAAATTATTTATATTTTATAATTTAGATTCTAGAAACGATTATTTTTTTGAAAAGATCAAATCTCATGCAACTAATAACCATGGGCTAGTCACTCAAATATTCATGATTGAAAAACTTGATTGGAATATAGAAATGCCCGAATTTTATAGCAGCTTAGCAATTAAATCTTGTTTGAAACTAGGTGGTCAACCAAATATAATCGATCCTAATTATTGGATGATTTTCCCTTTTGAGCCACAATCTACTATGATAGTCGGAACTTCTTTCAAACGATTTAACCTAGATAATATTCGAGAAAATATTTTTTCGCATTCAATTGTAGCATCGATGGATTCGGATTTCTGTCAAAACATTTGCATCCAACGTTTTTCAACAAAACCAAATGATGAACAACTCTTTGAAGAAATGTTTCACAATTCATTGATGGAATATCATAAAGAACATGGCAAATATCCCAAGAATATTATCATATTTCATGGAAAAAGATATACCGATTTGAAATCTGCTGCTAAATCAATCGATGAACAAATAAAGGTGACAAGCTTTTCGATCGATAAATCTTCACCTATTCGTTTCATTAAGAATGATGACGTAAAAGTTCCAATCGGTACTAGTGTTGATCTTAAATTTCAACAGCCTATTTCAAATCGTTCGTCAAAAGAGTTTGCCATTTGTAGTGAGATCGGTGGTGATGGTAATGTGAGTAACAAAACAAAAATCTTGTCAATCATTGAACTTTATTTTTGTTTTCCATAGCGATGCAAAACAACAAAATATACAGTCATCAATGATGATTCGGGAATGTCCGATATTCAAATCAAACATCTTTGTTATGCAATGTGTCATTATTATTTTGATAATTTCTATATCAATGATATACCATTTTCACTTGAATCGGCTCAATATTTTGCAAATTCAGCAACTACAAGATGCCTTGGTCGAAATGAAATCAATCCAATATATTCGATCAAAGAAATTATTGAAAAATTTTCCCGTAAAGTTCGTATTCATGGTTATCTTGAATATCCTGTTGATGATGAATAATATAAATTCTATATGTAAATCATGAATGGTTATGGATGGAAATCAAAACATCCTAAACAGACAACAACAAAATCATTTTTCATTGTTCATATTTCAAAAAAGCACACCTCATGCATCATGACTTTTAATGTCACCATTAGATTTTTGTTGTTAAAACGCTTTTACAATACAAAAATTATCGGTCAATAAAGATGATAATTTTTTTAAATGATGAGTATTTGATTTTGTTGTTAATTATTTAAACAAAAAACAAACAGAAAATCGATTTCGATTGCTGTCTTTGTTTGTGTCATTTGATTGAACCATTCAGATTTGTTACATCAAAATCATTGAAAATGTCTGTTCAAAATGAGTTGAATATTGAAGAATCCAATGAAACTGTTATTGAATCAAATTTCACTATAAAATCAAATTTTTTTCGTTTAAATTTTGTACCAATCATTATTTATAAATATAGTGTTCAAATATCACCAGATAATTATCCTAAAGATGATTATGATAAAATTATAAAATGTTATATTAAAAAAAATTTTTTATCATGGCTTGGTTGTTACTATGAAGATGGTTTTATTTATTCAAGTACGATAATCAATTTTCGTGAAATAGATTACAAATCTATTAAATGGTGTTGTGGTTTATATTATAATGAATTTTCAATATATTTGAAACAAATTGGCCAATTCAATTCGGTTATTGAAGCTGGAATAAATTTGCAAAATTTTTTTCTATTCTCCGTACAGAAAAAGAAAAAATTAATCGATTCCGGTATTTTTATTCAAATTGACGATAGAATTTCAGTTGGTTTCCGATTATCAATCAATCTGATTAAAGAACCAATGATTTTTATATCAAGACATCCAGTATTATATAATGGAAAATATCATATTTCTAATAATTCATTGCCCAGTGAAAGTGTTAGTGCATTCAATGAAGAAATGAAACGTTGTCCAAAAGAAGAATTTGAATTTTTTAAAATATGTTGTGCCGAAATAGAAAATTGTGTCAAATCATTCGGAATCAATATTGATTCGGAGCCGTTCGACACAAATGCAACATTACTTTTTCATCCAGAACTTATGCCAGACTCGCCGGATAAACCATTCTTCAGCAAACCATCTAAGATGATAAATTTTGCCATTCTTTGTTTTCATCCATTCGATTCAGATAAAATGAAAAAACTTGAAGATTCTTTTGTTAAAAAAGCCAAAAAATTTGAAATGAATTTTGAAAAATGTTTCGAAACACAGTTCGTTGACATTCAAAATGATTCGAAAATTGCAACAGTATTTCAAAATTTGAAAATCCGTGATATTCATTTTGTTTTCATTGGATATTCTCAACGTATGTTATTTCATTTTATAATAATAACTTTAAAAAAATTATTTTTAAAAAACTTTAATTTCCATAATTTAGGTTCAAGGAAAAGTTTTGTGGTTGAAAAGATCAAATCTCATACAACTAATAACCGTGGACTAGTCACTCAAATATTTATAATTGAAAAAGTAGATATGATTGTAGATATACCAAAATTTTTCGACCATTTAGCAATTACATCATGTTTGAAACTAGGTGGTCAACCAAATATAATCGATCCTAATTATTGGATTATTTTTCCTTTTGAGCCACAATCTACTATGATAGTCGGAACTTCTTTTCAACAATTTAGGCTCGATAATATTCGAGAAGATATTTTTTTGCATTCAATCGTAGCATCAATGGATAAAAATTTCTGTCAAAACATTTGCATCGAACGATTTTCAATAGAACCAAACGATGAAAAGCTCTTTGAAGAAATGTTTCGAAATTCATTACAGGAATATCAGAAAGAACATGGCGAATATCCTAAAAATATTATCATATTTCATGGAAAAAAATATACAGATTTAAAATCTGCTGCTAAATCAATCGATGAACGAATAAAAATGACAAGCTTTTCGGTAGATAAATTTACACCTATTCGTTTTATCAAGAATGATGATGGAAATGTTCCAATTGGAACTTGTGTTAAATTGGTTCAGCTTGACGGTTGGCCAAAAGAGTTTGTCATTTGTACTGAGATCGGTGCTGATGGCGGGGTGAGTTTAAAAGCAAAAATCTTGTCAATCATTGAACTTTATTTTTTTTTCTTAGCGATGCAAAACAACACAATATACAGTCATCAATGATGATTCGGGAATGTCTGATATTCAAATCAAACATCTTTGTTATGCAATGTGTCATTTTTATTTTGATAATTTCTATATCAATGATATACCATATCCACTTGAATTGGCTGAATATTTTGCAAAATCAGCAATTACAAGATGCCTTGGTCGAAATGAACTCAATCCAATTGATTCGATTGAAGAAGTTTTTGAAAATTTTTCCCGTAAAGTTCGTATTCATGGTTATCGTGAATATCCTGTTGATGATTGATTGATTGAATAATAATAATATAAATTCTATTCGGGTCATATATGGTTATGGATGAAAATCTAAACATTCTGAACAGACAACAACAACAACAAAAAGATTACGTCATCAATTTTTAAAAAATGCTCATATTTCAAATGTTTTTGTTTTTATCATAAAAACAAACACTAGTCATTATTGCATCATGTCTCCATACAGATGTATATACAATGTATTTGTGACTTGTATAGGTGTCACCATTAGATTTTGTTGCTAAACACTGATTCGAATATCAGGGAAAAAAAATTTTATCAATAAAGATTATTTTGGTTATTTTTTGTTAATAATGAGTGAAAAAAAGTGTTATTTTTTTGTGTTATTCCATTATTGAGCCATTCGATTTGTTGCATTCGATGAAATCTGTTGATCATCATCAAACAGGAAAAATGTCCAATTTAATTGTAAAATCAAATTATTTTCGTTTAACATTTTTACCAAACATCATCATTTATAAATATAGTGTTCGAATATCACCTAATATTGATGATGAAAATGATGTACGGAATATTATGAAAAGATTTATTAAACAAAATTCATCCGTATTATTCGAATGTTATTATGAAAATGGTTTCATTTATTCACGATCATTAATCATTATCAATCGAATTCGTAACAATATTGTTAATTTACGAAAAGGTTTTCGTAATGAACGATTTACAATAAATTTAAAATATAATGGCCAATTCAATTCTTTGGCTGAAGCCGGAATAGATTTGCAAAAGTTATTTCGATTCTTTGTTGAGAAACAGAAAAAATTGATAAATAATGGAACATTTGCTCTAAACGAATATCCATTCCCAAAGGATGGAATTTCAGTTATTGTTGGATTTCGATTTTTAATCATTCCAATACCAGATCCATTAATTCTCATATCAAGACAAGTAATATTTTATGATGGAAAGATTCAGATTTTTGAGTATAAATCTATTTCTGATGAAGCTGATAAAACTTTCGGCGATGAATTGAATTGTGGTCCTAAAAAAGAATTTGAATTTTTTAGAAAATGTCGTGCCGAAATAGAAAATTGTATCGAATCATTCGGTATCAAGATTCATTCGGAGCTATTCGAAACAAACGGAACATTACTTTTTCATCCAGAAATTATTCCAGACTCGCCGGATAAACCATTCTTCAGTAAACCATCCAATACAATAAATTTTGCCATTCTTTGTTTTCATCCATTTGATTCAGATAAAATGGAAAAATTTGAAGAATCGTTTGTTAAAAAAACCAAAAAATTTGGAATGAATTTTGAAAAATGTTTCGAAACACAATTTGTTGACATCCGAAATGATTCGGAAATTGCAACAGTTTTTCAAAATTTGAAAATTCGTGATATTCATTTTGTTTTCATTGGTCTTTCTGCATGTATGTTATTTTCATTCAATTATAATAATAAATTTTGAAAGTTTAATTTCCATAATCTAGGTTCTAGCAGCGATTATGTTTTTGAAAAGATCAAATCTAATGCAACTAGTGATCATGGACTTGTCACTCAAATATTCATAATTGAAAAACTTGATTGGAATATAGAAATGCCCGAATTTTATAGCAGCTTAGCGATTAAATCTTGTTTGAAACTAGGTGGTCAACCGAATATAATCGATCCTACTTATTGGAATGCTTTTCCTTTCAAGCCAGAATCTACTATGGTAGTCGGAACTTCTTGTTATCAATTCAAGCTTGATAATATTCGTAAAAATCTCTTCTCACATTCAATTGTGGCATCGATGGATACCGAATTCTGTCAAAACATTTCCATCGAGCGTGTTTCAATAAAACAAAACGATAAACAACTCTTTGAAGAAATATTTGAAAGTTTATTAAAAGAATATCATAAAGAACATGGCAAATATCCTAAAAATATTATCATATTTCATGGAAAAAGACGGATTCACGACGATCAATACACGGATTTAAAAACTACTGCTAAATCGATTGATGAACGAATAAAAGTGACAAGCTTTTCGATTGATAAATCTTCACCAATTCGTTTCATTAAGAATGATGACGAAAAAGTTCCAATCGGGACTTGTGTTGATCTTAAATTTCAACAGTCTAATGGTTCGACAAAAGAATTTGCTATTTGCAGTGAGATCGGAAACGAAGCTGTCGTAAGTAACAAATCAAAAAACAAAACAAAAATCTAGTGTTAATCATTAAATTTTTTATCTTCATAGCGATACAAAACAACAAAATTTACAGTCATCAATGATGATTCGAGAATGTCTGAAACGCAAATCAAACATCTTTGTTATGCAATGTGCCATATTTATTTTGATAATTTCTGTATCAACGATGTACCATTTTCACTTGAATTGGCTCAACAATTTGCAAAAAAGGCAGCAAAAAAATGCATTGGACGAAATGATATTAATCGAATAGATTCGATCGACGAAATTATTGAAAATTTTTCTCGAAAAGTTCGTATTCATGGTTATCTCGAAGTTCCTGTTGATGATGAGTAATATTTTTCCAAGAAAAAAAAAGATGAAAGTTTTAAAAATTGATTTTCAAAACTATTTCGATCAATCATAAATTATTGATTTTACCATTCACAGTTTATTGTATCAATCCAGACACACACACACACACACACACACACTCAAACATACATTTACATTCTAATATCAAAAAGAATATTATCCAGGATTTTAATAACAAAGAAATACTTCTCAGAACACTTGTTATTTTATCTATAAATAAATAATACAACAAACCACACCTAACGATGCATTTTTAAAGATTGTCTGTGTGTGTGTGTGTATCGATACAAAATTACAAATAAAAGAAAAAATTATTTATCGAGAATGATTTATTATTATTATTATCATAATCATAACTGATATAAACGACAGATCAAAGAAATTGAATTGAGTTTTCTTTTTTGTTGATCATTCTTTGATCAAACATTATTGTCGTTGTTGTGTTTACGTTGTTTTTTTTCTATAGAAAAATATTTGAAAAACAAGTATAAACATGGAAAATTCGGATGATTCGGACAATATTGGTGATGAATCAACCGAATTCAATGTAAAATCAAATTATTTTCGTTTAAGTTTTTTACCGATCGTTATTTATAAATATAGTGTACAGATAATACCTATGATTTATCGTGAAAATGAAATTTTAAATATCGTTAAAAAATTTATTATAAAAAATTCAACATTATTGCCAAGATGTTATTATGAAAATGGTTATATTTATTCACGTTCGTTAATTATCTCCGATCAAATTCGATACAGAACGGTTAATTGGAATAGAGGTTTTCGTAATAATCGATTTACAATAAATTTAAGAAATATTGGTCAATTCAATTCATTAGTTGAAGCCGGAGTGAATTTGCAAAAATTTTTTCGATTCTCCATACAGAAACAGAAAAAATTAATCAATTCGGATCTTTTTATTCAAAATGAATATCCATTCCCGAACGATAGAATTTCAGTTATTGTTGGATTTGGATTTTCAATCATTCCGATGTCAGAACCATTAATTCTTATATCAAGACATGCAATATTATATGATGGAATGATTAAAATTTATAATAATTCATTTTCAAATGAAAGTATTTTAGCATTAAATGAAGAAATGAAACGTTGTCCAAAAGAAGAATTTGAATTTTTTAGAAAATGTTGTACAGACATAGAAAATTGTGTCGAATCATTCGGAATCAAGATTCATTCGGAGCCATTCGAAACAAACGGAACAAAACTTCAACATCCAAAAATTATGCCAGACTCACCGGATAAACCATTCTACAATAAACCATCACATACAATCGAATTTGCTATTCTTTGTTTTCATCCATTCGATTTGGATAAAATAAAAGAATTTGAAGATTCGTTTGTTGAAAAAGCAAAAAAATTTGGAATGAATTTTGAAAAATGTTTCGATACACAATTCGTTGACATTCGAAATGATTCGGAAATTGCAACAGTTTTTCAAAATTTAAAAATTCGTGATATTCATTTTGTTTTCATTGGACTTTCGCAACGTATGTTATTTCATTCAATAATTGAAAAAAGAATATTTTTTAAAACTTTTACTTTCTATATAATTTACTTAGGTTCAAGGAAAAATTTTGCTTTTGAAAAGATCAAATCTCATGCAACTAATAACCATGGGCTAGTCACTCAAATATTCATAATTGAAAAACTAGATTTTAATGTAGATATTCCAGAATTTTTTGACAGTTTAGCAATTAAATCCTGTTTGAAACTAGGTGGTCAACCAAATATAATCGATCCCAATTATTGGAATACTTTTCCTTTTAAGCCAGAATCTACTATGGTAGTTGGAACTTTTTGTAATCGATTCGAGCTCGATAATTTTAAATATCAACTCTTCTCACATTCAATTGTGGCATCGATAGATACCGAATTCTGTCAAAACATTTCCATCGAACGTGTTTCAGTAAAACCAAACGATGAAAAACTCATTGAAGAAATATTTCGAATTGCATTAGAGGAATATCATAAAGAACATGATAAATATCCTAAAAATATTATTATATTCCATGGAAAAAGATACACAGATTTAAAATCTGTTGCTGAATCACTTGATGAACGAATAAAGGTGACAAGTTTTTCGATCGATAAATTTTCACCTATTCGTTTCATCACAAATAAAAACGAAAAAGTTCCGATCGGTACTAGTGTTGATCTTAAATTTCAACAGCCTATTTTGAATCGTTCGACAAAAGAGTTCGCTATTTGTATTGAGATCGGAAACGAAGGTGTCGTAAGTAACAAACAAACAAAACAAAGCAAAAATCAAGTTAATCATTGAATTTTTTTCCCAATAGCGATACAAAACAACAAAATATACAGTCATCAATGATGATTCGGGAATGTCTGATACACAAATCAAACATCTTTGTTATGCAATGTGTCATTTTTATTTTGATAATTTCTATATCAATGATGTACCATTTTCATTTGAATTGGCTGAATATTTTGCAAAATCAGCAATTACAAGATGTATTGGTCGAAATGATATTAATCCAATTGATTCGATGGAAGAAATTATTGAAAAATTTTCTCGTAAAGTTCGTGTTCATGGTTATCTCGAATATCTTGTGGATGATGAATAATCTTTTCTTTTAAAANAATTTCCAAAAATGACAAATATTAACAAGAAAATCTTTTCGATAGATTTCAATCAATTCAAACGATTGTATTGGATTGATTGGTAAAATTTTTTCATTACTTTTTTGTTGTTGATTGTTGGCGGTGATTCGTAAATCTAATTGATTCCAATATGATTTCAGAATAATATTACGTATCTGTATTATTCGTTGATGATTACCATTGTTTAATATGAATATAAAACAAAGATATCCATTCATTGTTGATATTGGTAAAAGTAAATGCAACTTTTCAATTGATCTTTTTTCAATAATATTACAGATAAAAATAATATGATGTATAACGACAATAATAATAATCAATAAACAATGTATCGATAGTATTTGATTAATTTGTCTACTCCAAAATGCCACGTTTGTCATTTCGTTGAAGAATTTTAAAATAATTCTTATGGATACATTTTTCATTGTTTTGAATTTAGAAAAATTATTAATTTTTGTTAAAAGAAATTGTCGTATACAACATTGATGAAATATAATTAGATTGAAGACAAGATGAATCTGTCCTTTTGTATGATATCTTGATAGTTTATCAATAAATTGTCGAAAAGAAAAATTTTCAAAATTAGGTAATGTTGTTATTACATAGACTAATTCAATTGATGCTAAAATAGTTAATAAATATGGAGAATATCGATAGATTGAATGATAATAACGGTTACCAATATTATTCATTAGATATATTAATCGACGACCATTAATCAAATAATGTATATAGATTATAAATTGAACTATAGAAAATAAATAACTAAAACAAAGCCAAGTAAAATTTGTTAAAAATTTTTTCGATGAATGTAATCGATTATGTCGTTCAGACATATGAAGACCATAAAAAATAATTATGGTAATAATAATATTAACAATAACATTGACCATAGATTTCCATTGTTTCCGATGAATCGGTTGAAATTGTAAGCCAAAATTTCTAATGATAATGATAATTATTATCAAAATAATGAATTTCCAAGTATTAAAGTATAGTTACCCATAAGTATAGATAATAAATTTAAGAAATTTTGATTGCATTCTATCCATCATATCCATTTAGATGATGATTACTATTCAAATGAATAATATGAAATGAAATGAATTCTAATTTTCGACATTAGTAAAATAAATTAATAAATTTGAAACAATAATAATAATAATAATAATTACAATTATTGTTATCGATTTTCAATTTTGTAGAGTAAATGGATATTCGAATGACATTCATCATTATTATTATCATCCATCAAATCAATTAGTCGATACAATAAATACAACATAATTAATAACAAATGCAGTAATCGATAGAATGAAATGAAAATCCATATTCCAAATACGAAAAACTCGTACAATAAAATCATTTTTATAGATATTGGTTAATTCAAAAAATCGTATTGGATCAAATCGTTTGACAACAATTTGATCCGATTGTCGTTCATCATTGTCAATACGATAGCCAATCGTTGAATTACAACGATTTTCATTACAATATTTCCAATATGATTTTAACATTAATCGACGAATCATTTGTATTCGTTTGATTATACGTAAATTGTATAGACTAATTTTAGATAAATAAAAATAACATAAACAAATATGAGGTGCTTCAATAAATGCTATACGCCATTGTTTTTGAAACAAAACAAATGCACAGAATTTGATAATCATATTCGTACCAATCGATAATATTTGTATCAACAGACCATTCGATAAAAGATGATTCATTTTTTTACATAAACAAGCAACACGTTCAATTTTTTTCAAAATTTTCGAATAAATTAAACATGGATGACCAACAATTGAATTTGTTTGATTAATATGTAATAATTTCGATTCGATTGAATGTAAAAATGATTCAACCAAACATTGATAAAATATGATCATATTATAAATTAAATGTATCTGAATACTAACTGTATACCAACCAAGTTGTGCAGAAAATTTTTCAATTGTTGCCTGTTGAAATAATTCTTTTAAATTATTATAATTTAAAAGCAAATAATTTAAATGTGCACTAATAAATGTTAATATTAATGATAAAATTTGTTGATATTGATTTATTTTCGTATAAGGTAATATCATATCAAGCAAATAAATCATTTGATGACCAAAACAATAATAATGAATAGCAATACTTGTATAAAGAATTGGATATATACGATTATATGTCATTAACATAACACGTGTAAAAAATGGATTCGATTCAATACGCCAATTATGTGGATCATATACAAACATACCATACACTGATAAACAATTCAATAAAATATTCAATAATAAATTCAATAATGATCGCCAGCTATTTAATTTGATTGAATGAAAATGACAGCCAAGATATCTTTTATTTGTTATCATTTGAAAAACGGAAAATAAACAAAATTTATCAATTTAAATTTCTACAAACATCAAAGAATATCATTTACCCAAAAATATTGGCCACAAGTTTTCCGAATAAAAATGTTTTTGTTTCCATTTTCATTTGTTCGCTTGATGCGTTGATTATAACGGTTATGAATGGTGAAATAATGATTATTTCTATTTTTATTATTATCATTTTTTTGACATTTAAAAACAAATTAATTAATTGAAATACATTGATCGATTCAATTCAATCAAGTAATTGAATTGACAATGACATTGTTTAAAACAAAATTCTGTCATTCACTATCGATCAAAAAGGTGATTGAAGAAGGTTTTTTGTTATTATAAATACAACATTTATTATTCATTTTAGATAAAATTATACTCAGAATTCGACAATAAATACAACATTTTTACAAATAATTTTTTTGTTTCATCATTATCAATTAGTCGATACAATAAATACAATATAATTAATGATAAATACTGTAATCGATAAAATGAAATTAAAATCCATATTCCAAATACGAAAAATTCGTACGATAAAATCATTTTTATAGATATTGGTTAATTCAAAAAATCGTATTGGATCAAATTTTTCGACAACAATTTGATCCGATTTTCGTTTATCATTAATACGATGACCAATCGTTGAATTGTAATGATTTTCACTACAATATTTCCAATATGATTTTAACATTAATCGACGAATCATTCGTAAACGTTTAGCTATACGTAAATTGTATATACTAATTTTAGATAAATATAGATAACATAAACAAATATGAGGTGCTTCATTTATTGTTGCACGCCATTGTTGTCGAAACAGAACCAATGCACAGATTTTTATAATAAAACTAATGCCAATCAATGTAATTTGTATCAATAAACCGTATGAGAAAAGATGATTCATTTTTTTACATAAACATGCTACATGTTCGATTTTTTTCAATATTTTCAAATAGATTAAACGTGGACAATCATCGATTGAATTTGTTTGATTAATATATAATAATTTCATTTCGATTGAATGTAAAAATGATTCAATCAAACATTGATAAAATATGACCATATTATAAATTAATGTAATCTGAAAACTCAGTGTATAGCAACCGAGTTGTGCACAAAACTTTTCGAATGTTGGTTGTTGATACAGATCTTCTAAATTTGTATAATTCAAAGACAAATAAACAAAATGTGAAATAATGAAGATAAATATTAATGGTAAAAGCTGTTGTCGTTGATTTATTCTTGTATAAGGTAATAGCATATCAAGTAAATGAATCATTTGATGACCAAATTGATAATAATGAATAGAAATTATTGCATAAAGAATTGGATATATACGTTTATATGACATTAACATAACACGTGTAAAAAATGGATTCGATTCAATACGCCAATTATGTGGATCATATACAAACATACCATACACTGATAAACAATTCAATAAAATATTCAATAATAAATTCAATAATGATCGCCAGCTATTTAATTTGATTGAATGAAAATGACAGCCAAGATATCTTTTATTTGTTATCATTTGAAAAACGGAAAATAAACAAAATTTATCAATTTAAATTTCTACAAACATCAAAGAATATCATTTACCCAAAAATATTGGCTACAAGTTTGCTAAATAAAAATTGTTCAGTTTCCATTTTGATGTGTTGATCACCGTAATAAATGTTGAAATAATGTTGTTGTTGTTTTTTTAGACATTAAAAAACAAATTGTTATCAATTGATTCTATTGATCAAAATGTATGTGTGTGTGTTTACAAAAATGTATTTACAAAATTGTCACTCGATATATATCGATCAAAAAGGTGTTTCAGTTTGTATTATAAATACAACATTATTCATAATAAATAAAATAATACCCATAATAAGATCCAAATCGACAGAGCAAAAATGATATATTCTAACAATAAAATCATTTTCAAATAATTTTTTCGATTCATAATAACGACTTGGATCATATTTTTGTATAATAATCATTTCATTAATTAGATTATTGTTCGGTCGAAAATTTCCTAAATCATTCCAATATTGAATTGTAATAATTTTTTGAATATCAGATAAACGTTCGGCAATCAATCGATTATAGTTGGACATTATAGTCAAATAGATGGCAAAAATGATTATCTGTAAAAGTAGATTATATTGATTTGTAATTGTATAATATTGAATTATACAAATTCGTATAATAATATTAATAGACATTGTCGGTATCATTATCAATAAATTGATTGAAGTAAATTTTTGTATTTGATCACAATGTTTAGCAGCATCTATCATTTCATTAATCATCAATGTTAATTCGGATCGATCATTTCGACAATGATTACTAATGTGCATCTTTCGAATTAAAATATCAAATAAACGTATTGTTGATGATTGAAAATAAATAATCAGATTACTAAGCATATGAAAACGAGCATTTATAAAATAAACACCAAATTGTCGCCAAATTTGATTCAGATTGATCGATGTAAAATTGATCATAAAAAATTTCTGTATTGTTTGATAATTCATAACAAAATATGTTGAATTTGTAATGAATATTGTCCATATGAAACGTTCATATTGCCATTGATCATTTGTTTTTCTTGTTAACATATCAATATTTTGTATAAATTTTGATCCTTTCAAAAGATATTGTATCGATACAATTAGATATGTCATTGGATAAATAAATTCATAACAAACACGTAAAATTTGATATAATAATGGTTTATCGAATGCCATTGATTTTAATGAACTATTTGCCAAAAGACCATTAATGGCTAATAAATTTATTGTTATATTCATTAAAACATTTAAAATGGTTTTCCAATCATTTCGATCAATTGGATGTAGTTGAAGACCAAGAAATCTTTGTTTATCAAAAAAAACCAAATAAAATAAAATAACCAAAAAGAAATCATTTGAATTCAATAAAATTCTTACCCGTATGTAAAAGAAATCATACGTAAAAATCGAGCTTGAATTTTAAATTTACTCATTTTATTTTTATTTTATTTGTTGATGATTTGAAACAAACGTCTGTATTGTGGAAAATATATTTTCAAAATATAATGAATACAAATCCATTTTATTTTCATTTTGTTATTCCATAATATCCAGGATATAAAAAAAACGAATACAAAATGAGATTCTGTCGAACATTTTTATTGATTTTTTTTTGGGGGTAATGATAAGGAAATATTAAATTATTTGGTATCATTATCATTATAAAACACTTATTATATTAATTCCAAAGAAAAAACATTTTTTCAAACATTATCACAATTATTTTTCGATAAAATTGTTGTTGATGAATTCAAAAATCGAAAATAGAATAAAACAAATGTTATCAAAACAATTAGTATCAACAATGCTGTTATCGAGAATAATATGGAAATAATAATCATTGAAATGGTTGATGATGATGACGAAGAATTTAATGAATCGAACCAATTTATTATCGATGATGATAATGTTGATGATGAATTTGTTTGATTGTTTTTCCGGATAATTTTTTCCGGAAAGTTTTCCATTTTCCTCTCATTATTGTTGTGTTTGGAAAGATTCTCGATTGTTGATACAAATTTTTGTTGTGTTTCATTAAGATTTTTCATTTTAACCATTAAATCATTAATAATTTCGGTAATCATACCATCCAAATCATTTTCAATATGTTCACGAAGTTTTTGATTATTACGTTCAACATATGATTGTAATTTTTGTATTTGAATTCGAAATAATTGTTCAATATTTGAATTGATGGCCATGTTTGAATGATTTGGCGAACAATGATCCATTTGTTCCAGGTATTTTTTCAGATTCGATGGTAATGCTAAAATGATGATGATGATAAAATTAATAGAGTTTATTAATCAAGAATCAATAACATACATGAAAGATAAATCTGATAATGATATTTTAATTCATATAGATAGAATGGACGATTCCAAATTAAAAATTCAAAATTTAATGATCGTTGTAATGCAATTGGAATATGGATTTCAATATTGGTTGAATCAAAAAGTTTATAATCAAGCCACCATGCATAACAATTGATCAATGATAATCGTGGTAACCAAAGATTAATATTCGGTACTTTTATCAGATCAATTCGTGCAACAATTTCTCTACTTTTCGAATGATCAATAGCAAAAGAATGTTTTACCATTAAAATTGGTAAAATCAAAACAAATAACATTAACAATTTCATTGTCATCATTGTTTTTTTTACAAATCATCGATTAATGAAAAAAAATGGAAAATATTTCATCGAATCATTTTATTTGTTGCATTTGTTAATTTATGCTGACCAAAGCATAAACTGATTTTATCAATTTTTTTTCGGGAAGAAAAGAAAAGAAAAGAAGCCAGAAACAAAATTATCGAAAATTCATCAAGTTACCGCCAATATTGTAAAAGTCAGCCATTTTTTTCTCTTATTATATTTCATCAATGAAAATTGCCAAAATTTTTCACATAATCATCATCATCATCATTACTGTTTATTTCAATATATTTTATAATCACGATCAACATTAGGTAATAAAAACACTCGGGGTGTGTGTGGAAAAATCATCAGTAAATAAAAATAATAATGAAGATTATTGATTGTTGACGATGATGTTTATAACAAAAAAAAAAATCTGAATTCTTCACGAAGATAATAGAATTACACAAAAACGCACACACAAAACACAAAACAAAAACGAACAAAGTTTTATATGGATAAAAAATCAGTATAAATAAAATCAACATTATTGATATTATTATTATTATTATTATTATTAGAAACTGAAAACAAAAATTATAATTCTGGCACCGATTATTATTATTATAAATGAAGTAATTTTGCTTTGTTTTGTTTTTTTTGAATGAAATGAAAAATAGAAAATCAATCTTTTTTCCGATCAATCAATCGCTGTTGTTTTGTTTTTGTTTGTATGAAAATAATTTTTTTACAAACAAGAAAAAAAAACTAAAAAATAATAATAATAATAAAACAAAGATAGAGATTAAAGAGAGGAAAACTTTTTTCTGTTGTTGTTGCGGTTGTTGTAACAAATAACGATAATGTTTGTTGTTGTTGTTGTTGTGTATATATCAAAAATGAAAAAAAAAGAAAAGAAAATCAACTGGATACATAAATGATAAGTTTTTTTTTAAATGAAGATCATCATATAATTTTCGGGATATTTTGTTTGTGTGTGTGTGTGTGTAATTATCACATTGAAATTATGTGTGTGTGTGTCTGTCTGTTGTGTGTAATTTCAAATTCATTTTTGTTTTTTGTTTCATTGATGTATTGATAAATGTGTTTTGTGTGTGTGTGTGTGTGAAGATCCAAGAATGTTCATTTGAAGTAGTGTTGTGATGAACTGCCTATAATTATTATTATTATTATTTTTTTTTTTTTTTTTTCAAAAAAAAACTTTTTTCATCACGAATTACTACTGTCA